AAATAACAAACAGCCCACTATGCCTTCCTCCCACCTGAACGCAGACGGGGCTGTAAGTAAGCTTGTCAAATTCTCTACGCTCACGCACCACCGAACCTATCTCAAAGATACGGAACAAAAGCGAGTTGACGAAGCATTTCAACTCCTTACGAACGGACGACCACCAGCCAGCTCAAAAGGGGCCAAGCAAAAAACAGCCTACCTTGAATTCCAGCGCAACATAAGGAAGAAGTTTGGTGATACTGGAGTCGTTCTTTGTGCCGCTGGCCTGGGGCCTTCGGCCATAGCAAACATGAAGGAGGAGGAAAGGGTATTCTTGCCTGCTAAACTCGGTGAGAAGTGGGACGAAGTCAAAATCGATGTTTTTGAAAGCATTGCGGATAGTGTGACAAGAGGTAGGACGGCTTCTTCCCTCGCTGCATAGAACAGTGCTAACTTAAGGAAGACACATCCCTAACAGCTGTTCATGGTGATGTCTACGAACTTTCCGTGGAAGACATGCAGAAAATCGCGGCAATGCCAGGCCAGATAAACGGTATAATACGACTGACCGATCCTTATAACAGATATCAATCTTCTTTCGTCACAATTCCTCTATCTAAAGAAATGACTGATTCCTTGATTGTTAATCGAGAAAGAATTGTTGAGTGAATCTCATTCCCTCATAACATACCCAACTTCGATTGATCCGGACCTTCTCAGACACCAGCCAATATCCCATGGTATTACCACTAGGTTCCCAGCAAATTCTGTTCCCACCATGTCGATATATGCTCCATCATCCTTGGTTATGTGAATGGCACCCTGGCTTTCCGTGACGTCGACAACCACAGCGACGGATTGCGGAGGAGGTTTTATTCGGGTCGCTTTTGGAAGTGTCAACCAATCTATTCTTTCGCAATCAGAGTTTATCTACAAAGCAGTTAGCTATAGTCAGCCCTCAATGTTTGACGTGAACGTACAACTTGATTGATTTGTTGGAGAAGACTCTCTCGGGGAACAGGATCGATTTTGTATTTTCGTAACACATCGGCCATAGCTGAACCAATCCTTTAAGCCAATATAATGATAATGCGACGTAAATGGTAATGTGCCGATGTTTCCATAGAAAGAAAGGGGAAACACAATGAGATGCAGGTTGTTAGTGGGACCGATTGAATAACAAGGCAAAAAAAGAGTACTGTCACAGGTGAATGCTCCCTTCCCCAGATCGCAATATCTCGTATCTCATCCGCATGCGACAATTTAAGTCCAGGTTTGTATATGACTATGGCTCATCAATCCATAGGAAACTGAAAGAAAATGATAGTCGTGCACAACTCTGTTGATTGTCCAGGTGACCAGTGAGGGCTGTCATATGACCTGAGGTAGAAACGACTCAAAATCTGAACGCGTTATAAATTAACAACCGATCGGGTATCAGTGCTTCATATCCACCAAAATGAACATGCAGTTTCGCGTTTAAGTATGAGGCGAGAATCAGAAGGCCGAAGTTGTAGGCAATCGGCTGAGTTTAGGTGAGGGGCAAAAATGTAGTGGGTGGGGTGCATGGCACACGGAACAGGATTATCTGATTATCCTGCAGAAACCGTCTCTGGTGCAAACCAACCAATTTTCATGCCCTTTTTTCTGCCTTTATTCAGTGTACCAGTTTAACTGATCACATGCTGTTCGCGTTTTCTTGACAATTTTCTCCTTCGTTAAGCCCCTACAACATATATTCTAAAACTCATTCCTGTTACACAGAAACATATATTCAACATCTATCTGCTTTTTGGACGTCAAGTTCCTCTCATGGCTGTCATCGGTTGCATGAGGAAATCATCATACGCGAGTTCTTCCGCAGTTGGCCGCTCATCGGGCAACCAACGAAATATCCTCCGCAAGAACTGTAGAAAGAGCTTTCTATCTTCACCAGAAAATCGTCGCGCTCTCGTCTCGAATGACTGTTCCGGTATAGGTGTATTACCTTTCCAGCTTCCTGTAATAAAGATACGTTAAAACAACGATAGAGTTAACAAAAGGTGGAGTTAGATACCGTGCTTATCCCACCATTGATTACAACTCCCACTCTGTCTGATGAATTCTAGAGGAGGTGGTCCCATGAGAGATACCATTTCCGCCAAATGTTGTTCATTATCAAGAATTCCGTTGCGTTTTGCGAAAAAAAGATGATTGCCCTCTACCAAATCCCACACCTAGGCGATTTATCAGCTCATATGCGGTGTTAGGAAGGTTGAGTGTGAGTAATGAACACAGTGTTGAACACGGTTACCTAGTGTCATTATTAGACTCACCATGGTACCAATTGACCAAATGTCAACCTTACTGTTCCAATCCATCCCCATGATTACCTCTGGTGCCCGATAAATACCGGGCATGATGTCGCCTCTGTGGTTTTGTGTTCCCATTCTAGCTTCACCAAGATCGGCAACAACAGGTAGGCCCGCACAAATAGGTAATGGCCGAGAATAATAGATGACACGGTCACTAAGAACTTTTCTGGCGATTGGTCTATTCATCTCGTCTTCCTCAATTCGAGAAAGAATAGAATTATCCTCCAGCCCTTGCAATATATTATTAGAGGATATGTCTAGTGGATAGAGTCAGTCTATTTTATCAACAAAGTTTCTAGTCAGTGTCATACCAGTATGGATGGTATTGTTCTCATGCATGAAATCCAAAGCTATTAAGAGAAGTTGGATACTTCTCTGAGCAAGAGGCTTTGAAAATATTGCGTCGGGCAAGGAGTTCTGAAACTCAGTAAAATTCATTCCTAATGGCCGATATACCAGACAAATGTGATTTCCGTGAGGACCCGTAACCTCGAATGAATCGAGGACAAGACGAACCAGGTCTTTTCCAGTATGCTCCTGGGAGTTTTTCAAGTGGTCGGAGACAATTATTTCATGGTCAGCATATTGTCCCCGAACACAAACCTTGAGCGTAGAGAAGCCATTCCCTCTGGTCAAATTAGATATGGGAAGCAGCTAGACATTGGTTGGGTACTGACTGAAGATCTCGACAAAGCCAGGCAGTAGATGATGTGCCATATCCTAATTTGGACACCACTTGGTATCTGGACGCAAATACTTCGCCAATATAGACAGGGTAATAATTTTCTGCACTATAAAAAGGGAGTCGTTCTTCTTCTATTTTCTCCGTGGAGTCTAGGTTCACGAAGCCTGAGGTAGGAAATCGACGAGAAGGTTGAAGTGCACTGGATGCCATCGTTCTCAATTTTCCGGGACGCCAAATGGGCAGAACTGATTTTTTGATCGAATTTTGAAGAAAAAGATGAAGACTTCGGCGTACCAAGGGTGATACCGACATGATTCATAAAGTCTAAGAATAAGACCTCAAGACAGAAAACGGCCGACTCATCTTAAATGAAGACAGCTGCTGCAACAACGTTCGTCTACCGGGATGTCCTTGCTTTAATTAGTGGGGTCCCGGGATAAATATAGTCCGATTTGGCTTTACCGCTTTAGGCGGTTAGTTGTCAATCCATAAACGGGAACTAATTGGATTTCGTTGGAAACAGTTGAAATTAATTGGAATTAATTGGAATTAATTAGATCCAGCGAAGTCAGGATGGGCACAACTGGATATAGATTTTAGTAGCTGTAAAAATGAGGATATAGTCTTCTCGATCAATGGCAGCTTTTTTTTTCAGCTTGACACACTTTGAATAGCATACTCACGTCAGAAAAGGACGCCTGCTATATAAACAAGACTAGGTACTCCTTTCAATGTCAACTTCATTATCCGGACCTCTAGTTTACCAGCCCCGTCTGTATCATTTACTTGAATCCCAAGATGCCAAACCCTACCAGAACACTTGCAATGGGATACAGAGGAATCTCCTTGGCAACTCTTCGTAAAGAAGCGGGCCCAGCGTACACGAGCACGGTCGAAAATGCTGGTAAAGACCTTGGGGCAAAGGTAACCACTTCCTTCTTGAGCCGAAGGCTAAATCAACGGCAATGAATGAAGATCTAAATCATTTCTAGTATCCCAATATTGTGGAAGGAGAGATTCAGTATGTGATCCACCAACTTTCGATATTCGAGTGACTTCCAGCTTCCTACTAAAACATAATCTTTTTTTCGAAGGGGCACGAAACCTCATCCATCAAAGAAGGACAAGACCGACGATAAGGACGTTATCACGGTTGGGTATTACACTAAAAAAGGAACGAGATACCTGTCCATTCATGCACACAGTGATGGAACTTGGAAAGAGTTCTTTTCACGTGCAGGAAGATCCGCATGTGGACCTGAATCAAAGGAAAGCGCTCAATCTAACGAGAATTCTCAGTCGGAAGAGCAATCCTGATTCATCAGAGATGGCCAGATGCTGTGATACTGAGCATTTGTGATTTTCATTTTTGGGCGAAGTGTCGCAAAGTGGCCCCGCATAGTTTTTTTTTCGGATTATTTGTCTTTTGAGTCTTTTGATGCTCGAGTTTACAGTGACCGATTAGCTAAACCAACTTTGAAATTATTTTATCCTAACTTAATATGAACACAACTGAGCCGAATGTATAAAGAAAGAGTAGGTTTTGTTGGGATACCCATTTTGACTATCCGGTTTCACCGCAACTTGACGTTTTTGGCGATCACTCCGTCTGGGTTGATGCGCATTCTAGTCATGGGCCGGTTTTTGCTTGACACAATTTTCATCGACACTCACAGAATGGGTTTGTGCAGACCGTATGTTGAATGAACAACTGTGACGGACACAGAATGCCCCTTCTTCGCTTGTGCCGGTATTAGCACGCTGAGCGACTTGAGATGTATTGTTTGCTCTTGGGTGACCTTCGTCGGGCGGCCATTCCGGAGGCAAAACCACAAGCGGCAAGTCACAGGTCCGCCGATTACAGAGTACACAAAACTGCCCTTAATGCTTGTATTGAAACTGATGGCTACGGAGGATGTTGTATACAGCGAAAGGTCGACAGGCGCGAACCAAGAAATATCCCGACACCATAGCCTCTCTCATTCGCGTCTCCTCGGTTTCTCAGACCGAGAGTTGGACTTGTTGCGTAATCTGGTAGAATAGTGGACTTGAAGGGATAACATATTTCGGCCGGGGAAGTAAGCCGTAATCTCAGACCATGACATTGCCTCTCTTTCCTTCAGCCGCACCAGCAGCGCATTCTCGTCCGACGTGTACGGTCTTTGTTTCCCTGGAATATCCGCCGTATGGGGTCGAGACAGCATCGGCCTAGGGTCGGGTACGAAAGTAAAGTAATATGCTGGTTTCAGACCGGAATTAGAATCGACCGTAAGGAGAGCACTCCCGCGGACACCCTGGATAGCACCGGAACAATGGCATGAAACGGGAATGGAAGCGTCCGGAGGATCAGAAAGAGGCCTGGTTGAAGCTCTCCGCTTCTTCTTCGTCTGACCTGGTCGTTCTGTGTCATAGAAGGTTGTGTTCCGATCTTGGTGGCTGTCGGTGTCTCGGGCTGAGCGAAGTCGCTTTTTGCACACCGCCGCAGCGGCCCTTGTGCTTGTCCGGATGGCTCCTCGCTTCCATGGTGGTGGCGGTATAACCACAGCTATTGACGGATAGCGCGCCCGGCTATCGGAACTAGGCATCGTTCGAGCACCAGAACATTCTGGAGTAGAGTACACAGTTGGCGGAGGGGACGAGCCAGATGGGCCGGACTTGTCTTCAGCAGTGCCGGCAACTCTAGCTGGCTCTGGAGCATCGTTTGCCCGGGGGCATGGATCCTCACCTAGGCCAGATGTCTGACTGGGCTCTGTATCCTTTTCACAGTCGCCAGGGTGCATACTGCCAGAGGAGCAGGGGCCTGTGATAGACAATTTCCGCTTGGCTGATTCTTGTTCGGAATTGCCCACTGCAGATTGGTTGCTAACGGCATTATTCGCTTGTTCGGGTGCGGGTGTTGGCGCGGTCACACAGGGCACGCAGGAGAGTCGGGAAGTCTCCATTTCCTTTGTATCAGGAACCGTGTCTGCAAAGGTAAAGTCAGACAGTGAAACGTTGGTGGCCAGCTTCCATCGAATGTTGTGCCAACTTACCAGGTAAGCCATTTTCTCGCATACCAGGATGAATGCAGTCAAGATGGTTTGCCTCTGCAGGACATGAGTCTGGTGTCGCGGAGACTTTCGATAGCACTGGCTCTGAGAAAGCCAACGTGGATCTTTCACCATCTACCAGAATGTCACGGGCAGTTGGCATGATTGTTGTCACTGCGGGTTCGACATCTTCCGTCATTGGAGGCTGAGTGGCACCATATACATTATCGATCTCGACGTCAAAAACGTTCCATTCATGAGTTGCACTGGTCAGCGGCGGTGCCTGTCCTAGAGGTGCCTCAAACGGCCTTGGAAAAAAGCCGAACCCAGCGGGAAAAGAATCCTGGAAGTTTCGGGGAGCTTGAGATGAAGCATGACCGGGGATCGCTTCTTTCGCACTGGTAGATGATGGCGGCTGGCGACTTGGGCCATGGTAGAATTCGATTTGATCAAGATCCACCCTCATTTCCCAGAAAGGTAGTTAGACAGAGCGGAGGTAAATTGTAACAGAAAGCAATTTTGGAAGGAGGTTAGCCAGCCTTTATAACACTCAGGCACCGCCAGAGCATTACCGGCTGGGAATCATGCAGTATATCGGCTTGCGGACCCCGTACGACCGAGAACAGCGATGCCACTGCCTAGTTGATCCTACTCCCTGCTTGCGTTGGGTGATCGCTTGGGGATGTTCCGGGCGAATTTAGCCGAACCGCCTCGTCGAAGGGCGCCTTGGGTTCGTAGCACCCACTGTACAAGGGTACGGTGCCTCTTTCTTCATTTTGTAACGTTGCAGCCTTCCAAACACCTCAGCTGACAATTGAAGGATCGGGGAAAAGATTGGCAAGGAAAATCCCTCAATACGAGCAGTAGTCTACAGTCCACCGGTCACGCAAACCGATCAGGCAAGCCAACAATTTCGTGGATGGTTGAGATGCCTCAGCTCAGCGGCCAGAGCTGCTTGAGGCATTTTTGCGGTTGGCCAGTAAGCCAAAGCGGGTCGGGTGAGTGATTCGCTTGTGGCTCTCAATCGGGGGTCGGTTGAACTGGCAAAGTGACCAAAGTGACAGTGTTGGGGTGCTGCGTGGCATTCGCGAACCGAAGTCAGGGACGGACAAAGAGTGGCCAATGGCCCAAAGTTGCTATTCAGATGCCCAATTATTAAGCAGCCCGAAGGTGACGTGTACACCGGTTGAAACAGCGGCCGTCCACAGCGTACAGTGTGAGGAATGCATCCAGCCATACAGGGCTGGGAAGCGAAGGACGATCCAGGTGACTCGAATGACCAGACTGCCCCCTAATTTCCGCGAGTGGGGAAGCAGGCTGTGCCCCAGGGCGCAGAATTTTCAGCTGGCAGGGGGCCGCGTCAGCCGACCGGGGAATGGAGCTGGCGAAGCAAAGAAATGGGGAGGGGGGAGAGCGTGGGAAAGAAGAGAGTGACCGTTGAGCGACGCACCGCGGCTTTATATAGATGGCGGACGTCGTGCGACGGGCGGTGGGCGACGGCAGATCCCGATCGGGGCTAGCTGGGGGCGCCAAACCCGGTACGGACGGGCTAAGCCCCATACGGACGGGCGCGATGCCGGATTATAACTAAAGATATAGCTAAACTATTTCTATAGCGAGTCTATTCATGGATAAGTCTTCCGGATATAATAGTTTTAAATAAAGAAAGATAATTTATTTTTAAATTCTAGATAGAACTTTATAAAATCTTAAAGATTAAATTAAAGCTATCCTCCGAATATTTGTTACGACACCAATACCAGTCACTTAAGTGAGGGCGGCTATGCTAGGCAGAACATCGGGCAAACGACAACCAACCAAGCCCCGCAGCAAAGAGATGCCCGCTGCTCACCCTAGTGCTCAGTGAGCACGCCCTGAGCACTAGGCCAAGAACGGCAAGGACACAGAAATCACGGTACATATGCACTTATGCGTACTTGGGCTTCTATGCACTCCACACGTGACCAGGATGGTAGCACGATCGCGCGATAACACGATCGTAGGATAGCACGCTAGCTACCATGCTACCAAGCTACCAGGCTACCGGTGCTACCAGCTGCAGGATCAAGAGATATAAGGACACTCATTACCATGTACTTAGGATAGTTCTTGTTTAGTTCTTCGCGTTCAATCTTATCACTGTCTTTGATAACTACCAAGAGTTACACTGCTAGTGCGATTCGTCCACACTCTATCACAGGAAGATATACGTATCGACCTGGCCTTACTTCTACCTTAGCTGTTAACGGATCTTTGGACCATCAAGTTAGTTTACCGGAACCCAGGTTCGGTTCCCAGGCACACCTATTCGGATACTCAAGAGCAACGGTGCTCTTCAGATAAGTATTGCCCGTTCCCAGGATCAGTTGGACTGATCACCAGAGGCCTGAACTACATCCTAGCAGTCAGCACAGCTTAGGCGGATCCTAGGGTTTGACAATATTATCCTTAGTTTAATAGAAGAATAGAGATAGTTAACTAATATATTATATAATAACTAAAATCCTTTATAAACTACTACTAAAATAACTAGCTAAAATTATTACTTATAATAGATTTTACAGCTACGGTATTACTACATAAATCTATAAATATATCTCTATTCTTCTAATAGTTTAGATCTTTTTAGAAGATATAAAATAAGATAGTAAGTTTCGGTCTAACTATTATCTATTATACGGGATATGGAATAACTAATATTTAATAAAATATAATTAGCGATCTTGTTCTCGTCTAGATTTAATATTATAGTAGTAACTAGTAAGTTATTTTTTCGGAGTTTTTCTTTAATTAGAATTTCTTTAAGAGCAGAAATTGGTTGGTACTTGGACATGCGCTGCGGTTGTATAGATATGGATGGGGTAAATGAGCTTCATCGGCTCCCGGCCCATGACATGCAAGCTCATTGGTCAAGCAGAGGCATGAACGGCGACTGGGTGGGGCACCTTCCCGAAAAAGTCTAGGACCTTCCTTGTTCCCGCTCTCCCGCGGCAACGGGCTGGACAAACACTACCCATCATTACACCACTGCATTCATTTATCATGGCACACCATCCAAACCTCAGAACTATTGCTTCATTCTGTCCTTTTTCTTCACTATCATACTACTCACGCGCATCAGACGCATCACTACGCTCGCTGTCAAGTCGCCGTTCTTGGAAGCCTTTGCTTGGATCATTGAGTCATCTTGGCTTCGCTTCCTTTTTTTCAACAACAATGTTGCATCCTGAAGATGCAATAGGCTATCGCTTCCAGTGGATTGATGGTGCCGAGGTCTCTCGAAAAGTACAGACCTGGTGGTTATCATCCCGTACTGATTGGAGATACACTCCACAAGAGATACCGCATTGTGGACAAATTGGGCTTTGGAGGCTATTCAACCGTTTGGCTTGCCCAGGACACTTATCTGAAAAAATATGTGGCTGTCAAAGTCGGCATAGCAAACTCAATAACACATGAGACTGATGTCCTACGGGCACTCTCTGCGTCCTTCCCGGCGCACTCTCCCATACACCCAGGACACGATTCCATACCCTACCCTCTCGATGAATTTCAGCTGGAAGGCCCCAACGGAACACATCCGTGCTACACAATGAGTCTTGCACGGTGCAACCTCAGAGAAGTGTCTTTTAGTCGTCTGTTTTCTCGGGAAGTTGCGCGGGCGCTGTCAGGTGGCCTCGCTCTGGCTATTGCGTATATGCACTCGCGTGGTTACGTTCATGGAGGTTTGTAATTATGATGCTGGAGCATGTTTTTCCCAATTGACCAAGTGAACTCTAGATTTACACCTTCGCAACGTCTTGGTCAAAATGCCCTCAACTTTTGATCATCTTTCGGTCGAGCAACTATATGAGGAGTTTGGAGAGCCTGAGGCAGTTCCTATTCAGCAGATTGATGGAAAACCGCTTCCTCCGAATGTCCCAGTGCATGCGGTTATACCACTTAACCTCGGGAAAGATGCGGCAGAATTTGCACTTTCTGATGCACGTGTGCTTTTGAGCGACTTTGGCGAGGCATTCTCACCCAATTTGGAAGGCCGTTGTGGAAAGGATTGTCACACGCCGCTGGCAACGCGACCGCCTGAAAGCAGATTTCAACCTCATAATCACCTCTCATTCTCGGCAGATATTTGGAGTTTGGCCACAACAATCTGGGAGATACTGGGCATGAAGGCCATTTTCAGCAGCGACTTTGTCACTGCGAATGAATTAGTGTCCCAGCAAATCGATGTGTTGGGACCTTTGCCTAATATTTGGTGGGAAAGCTGGGTAGAGCGAAGCCAATTTCTTGATGACGATGGATGCCCTAAAGAGAGCCGGTATGTTTGGCCATCAATTGATGAGTCGTTTGAAGATGGTGTGCAAAAGTATCGAAGGAATCTTGGTTTCGGTGAATTTGAAACAGATGAAACTGCTGCCATCCTAGATTTGATGCGTCGAATGTTGTCATTCAGACCAGAGGAACGACCAACTGCCGAAGAAGTCCTTCAGTCAGAGTGGATGGTCAAATGGGTGATGCCTGATTTTGAACGGAGCTTGCAGATGAATTAGGGAAATTCATATGATGTGTTTGTAAGGTTGCAGATATCTAGAATATCACGTGAATTAATACAGTATATCAACAACTCCGTTCCTAATAAGACGCTGCGCGGATGGCCCTTGCGATGAATATCTACACTGGTTATCGACCAGCTTTCATCCTGTTGGCTATTCGATAAGTGGCGATGGGACCGTTGTATGAATTTCACAGTCGCAGCCTGGGATTGGCCGTAGATGTAGTAATGACCGACGGCAGGGGCGTGTGGGGTATTTTGCCATTGGCCTATGTCACCGAGCCGTGCTTTGGAATCTTCGACTGGGTGTGGAGAGACTGGAGAGAATGACGATAACGACATATGGGCGCCGCGGTATTGGCGACCAGGCAACCGAGAGCCGTTCTGTAACTTGGGGGTGGTGCAATGTAACCTTAATTGGGGCGCATGGAGTGGAGCAGATCGTGTCGAGGGCATACTGGGAGTTCGCGATCTGATCCATGAAGTTGAGTACCGTGGTTAAGTGAGGTCCATCCAAACCGTGGCCTATAATTATCATCAAGATAACAAATTGTCCTGTTGAGCTCTATTCAAAGCGAACTCTGATTTGCTAAACAGCGTCCAGGTATTTCCGAATTTTGCAAAAAGGCGGCTTGTTTATTTTCCGCGTCATGGACACTTCGAAGACTAACAAGTAAATGCAGGAAGAGAATATTCGTCTATTATTCTAAGAGCCTTGATTTCCTTGTTCGATTTGTAAATTTCACGGCAAAGTCCTTGTGTCAGTTCCATCTTGGCGGTGGTTTCACCTCCCCAACCCATTACGATCATATGGCGGATTTGTCCAGCGCCATGAAAAAAGTATATTTTTGCCAGATCTATCGTTCCCAAAAATACAGGCACGGCAGATGCTTGCGCTTTGCGCAAGACCTGATACACCTGCGCTTCGCGACAGACTTCCTTCCATAACCCCGAGGTGGTGGTACCTTTGCCGACAGCCGTGTAACCGTATGTCGAGCAAGTCAATTTGAACGGGGCACCATAGGAACCGCAACAACCGAAAGGAATGCAACGGTCGATATTGTCGTCCAATTGGCTTTTCAATGAAGTGATTAAATCTCCAACTGAGATAGGATGGTGGTTCAGATCTTTCCGACTCGCACGATGATAGCTCACATTTGGACAGAGCTCGTCAAAGGGCTGCCCACTCTATAGACCGAATAAACATCGCTGCGTACAAAATTGTACAGCACGGCGTCAAGAATGATCTTCTTGGTCACTTTTCGACTCCTGTTGTCGATTCGATCGCCGCGAGGAAGGCGAAAGCGTGACTTGACTGATTTTCCGCTTGTGGCCAGCGGTTTTATTTGTGTCAGAGCCGGATGAGTTAGGTGACTGCGAGCATGGTCGAGTCTCCCAAGGCGCACAATTGCTTTATTGACGCGTCAAAATTGTAAAATGAATACAAAGTACGCGGTTCGGGAAGAAAGTGGCCGCTCGGTGTCCGATTACGTAAACTAGCGCCAACACATAAGCGAATCCCACGAAGCGAATCCCACGAAGCGAATCATTTCGACTTCAGCGACGACGAGATCTTTTCATCAAACACCACGACAAGCAACTTCAGTGACTAAAACCTGCTGAAATCTAACTACTAAAGCGAAATGGCAGGCACAATTAGCATGTATGACCTTGTCATAGTTGGTCACGGCGTGGCCGGTCTAGCCGCCGCAGTATCGGCGGCGGAACTCGCTCCAGCAGCTCAGATTGCCGTGCTAGAGCGCGCGCCTGAGGATGCCAGCGGGGGCAACACGCGTTATAGCCCGGCCAACATGCGCATGCGATCTGTTAATGAGATATCGCCTGGTTTCATGGATGATATGATGACCATCAGTGGCGTAGACGGCGACCGCGCCTATTTCGAAAAGTTGGCCGACCAGGCACCGCAGGCCGTCCAGTGGCTCGAGAGACAAGGTGTGCAATTTCATGCCATGGACTATTTCTTGAAGTCGTGGCCAAATAGGATTCAGCCCGTCGGCAAAGGTGCCGCCATAATCGAAGCGCTGCAGCGATCTGCCAGGGTAAAAGGCATCCAGCTGGTGTACGAATGCCGCGCCAAGCAACTGCACCTTGGGAAAGAAGGGGCCACCATCGAGGCGGCAGACGGGCGGCGATTCATTGCCAAATCCGTTGTTCTCGCCAGCGGTGGATTTCAAGGTAATCCAGACCTCCTGCATACCTATTTCGGGACCGGTGCGGAGTCTCTACGACCGATATCTCCAGGCACGCGGTGGAACACAGGTGATGGGATCCAAATGGCGCTGAATAACGGAGCTGCGGTAAATGGAAATTGGAATGGCATGCATAGCGAAATAATTGATCCGCGCAGCGATATGCCTGCACCGCTCGTGCTCGTCTATCCTTATGGTATTGTGGTGAATTGCAACGGAAAGCGATTCGTTGATGAGGGCGCAGGGCTCGTCCATGACACCTGGGAACAACTTTCACGAACTATCCACTTTGATGCTCCGGGCCAGTCAGCCTGGGTAGTTTGCGATTCAAGACTCTCTGAGGTGGAAGGCTATGAAGCGGCCATTCGCACCGACATCCCGCCTCTTACAGCGGACACAGTATCTGGCCTAGCAGTCCAGATGAAGGTGCCGGAACAGGCGCTCTTAGATACAATCTCAAGCTACAACGCAGCTTGTGACACAGACGTATCCCGTTTTTCTGCTGGCCGTCTTGATGGCCTTGCAACTGGGCTTAGCTTGGAACCTCCAAAGTCGAACTGGGCCCGCCCGCTCAACGCTCCGCCGTATTTAGCTTTTCCTTTAGCCGCTGCTATTGTATACACTTTTGGTGGACTTGCGACTGACACAGAAACGCGAGTATTAACCCAGCAAGGCGCCATTCCTAACCTCTACGCCGCAGGTGAGGTTACCGGCCATTTCCACGACACCGCGCCAAATGCTGTTGCTGTTTTACGCGCGCTCGTCTTTGGGCGCATTGCTGGGCTCAATGCAATGAGCTCGAAGTAGATGGTGGGTTTAGTAGGCAGTGGAGATGTATGCATTAAGCAATCTTTCAACTTAGCATAACCTCATAGCTGGCTTGTGTGAACCCCTTGTCGAGCTCTGAAACACACGAGATTGTGAAATTCTAGACATACAGTTTGAGTTTCCAGGTACAACCAAGACATTCTCAGGAACAATTAGTGATTTTCCATCTTATTCGTTGCACGTTCTGGTTCGAATACTATTGTACAGTTTAGGGTGTTTGACTGACGGCAAAGCGAATTGTACGTGAAAGCTATTATTCGATGAAAAACGTCACTGCGTGAATGTGGACAATCGGTTGGAATGACCGAGGCGCAGGGAAACAAATCACGAGGGTCACCACAGGCAAAGGACGCGTCTAGGCTGGCACATATAAATGCGCCACCTCCATCCAGTTCACTCCTTTGTGCCGTTTTTCTTCAGTCTACGTTTCTCTCCATACCACGAGAAGCGAAGGGGTCATTTAGGTGCTAAAAACTCACCTGACTGGAAGAGAGTATTTCCCGCTCCAGGTACCCAATTATCCTGTTAGACAGAAAGCCCACACTCGCTGGCCTTGGAGTATCCGTAATCTACGCGAAACCGTGATTTGCTGATATAAGTCGATTAGATCGAACGTCGGATCTGGTCACCTTTAAGCTACCGCTTCCTCCTTCCAATCACTTTGACGCACAAAAGTTGACCAGATTACCAAGCTCTTTCTGCAGACGGAGAAGAGGCGGAGGCAGACATTGTCTCGCTCGATGAGCGGGATAATGTCCGACATGGGACTGAGTAGACTGCCTAGCACAATAGCCGGAGCTCTACAGGCCCGTCTATAACCAGGTGCAGCTGGCATCAGGGGGAACACCGAATTTGTTCCCATATTTGCATGAGCTAGATGTTCCTATTTCGTTGATAATGGCAAACTGATTCTCGCTATCGTGATCGAATTTTGTGTGATGTCACGAATGATAAAAAAGCTGATTCAATGTGATGCTTCAGAAACAACGTAATGGAGTGTCATGTACTAGTCCAAAATATCGCAATAAGAGCCCCACCGCTTGACAATCTGGAGCAAGGAAACCCACAGAACTTTCTCAGTTGAGCTACCAGACATACAGTACATTCATCTACATGTCTCTCTTTCCCAAACTCTCAAAATTCCTGATTGGATTCTGGTGCTAACTTCAAGTATTTGTAGATCACATGACTAACATCAACCTCTGTGAAAGCATGTGTGATTGCTCTATACTTGCATTGAAACAGCTGACTGCGGGAGAGTCTCGATAGGCACACACCAAAAAACATCCCGAGAGCATAGCCTGTCATACGCGTCTCCTCGGTTTTCCAGACCGAGAGCTGGCCTTGTTGCGTAATTTGGTTGAATAGTGAACTTGGAGTGATGACACATTTCGGCCTGGGAAGTGAGCCGCAATCTCAGACCATGGCATTGCCTCCCTTTCTTTTAGCCGTACTAGCAGCGCATTCTCGTCCGACGAATACGGTTTTTGTTTTCCTGCAGTATCCGTCGTGCGGGGTTGAGATAATATCGGACTAGGATCGGGTACGAAAGTAAAGTAATAAGCTGGCTTGAGGCCAGAATTAGATTCGACCGTGAGGAGCGCACTCCCGCGGATACCCTGGATACTACCAGAACAATGGCATGAAACGGGAATGGAATGGTCCGAGGGGCTAGAAGATGGCCTAATTGAAGATTTCCGTTTCTTCCTTTTCTGACTCGGTTGTTCTGTCCCATAGGTTGCGTTCCCATCTTGGTGGCTGCCGGTACCTCGACCAGAACGGAGTCGCTTGTTGCATACTGCTGCAGCGGCCCTTGTGCTTCTCCTGGCGGCCCCTTGTTTCCAGGACGGTGGCGGTACAACAACAGCTATCGACGGGTAGCGCACCGGGCTACCAGAACTCAGCGTCGTTCGAGCACCAGAAAATTCTGCAGCAGAGCGCACAGTTGGTGGAGGGGACG